GGTTACTTAACCATTTTGACGAAACATAAGCTGACACGAGTCAATGAACGTGAACAGAATTCACCCCTATCGAAGTAATAATCGAAAACAATTAAACATCATAAAAGATAGAAAAGCAAGACAAATTTAATGAAGAGACATATCTGTACACAAATATAAAATGTTGGAAATTATTCATATATTTTGTTTTCATAGCTTAAAATTTTTTTAATTAACACTAGAAACGCTGATAGTATCCCGCTAGAACTGCCGAAGGTGCCAATTTGGTAATTTCCTATTTTTGTTTTCGGTTAGTGAAAAATTATTTTTGTATTTATATTATTTATATCATTAGAAATATTATATTCACATATTTTCAATATTCTGTATATCTAATGCAAAAAAGGACTGAAATAATTAGCGGAGCCAAAATGGCATCATCGGTGATTTTAGTGTTAACCGGGCACTGAGTGCGGCAAAATTTGTTTTTCTGAAAAATCATTGACAATGCCAGTCCTTTTTTTATTACCGATCTTCGATATTCCTCATTTAACTTTAAATTTTAATATATTTTACTTGCTTTTATGACGATTGTTCAATTATTTATCCAATTTTTATAATCCTAAATAATAAATTTGTGACGGCACTCAGTGCCGCATGCGCCCACTAACGTTTGGTCGGGAGACGCGGCCGGTTAAGGGTTAATCAATGCGCATTCAATTCACATAACACATTTCACAGCTCAGAAGCGTACTCCAACCGCTTAATGACCATTTTATATTCCTCTTCCAAGATCCGGTATTCCTTTTCTAGTATCTCTTTGCGTTGTTCATCGGATGGTAGTCCATTACCATTCGTACACGTACTTTTATCCCCGGTATTCTTCAACGCGCGCTCTATTTTCAACTCCTCATTCTGTTTTCTCTTAAATGGTATATTCAGTCTTTTCTTCACGTCTATTCTGTACGCTCGATATTCTTCTGCATCCGCGACATTTGTCGCCTGCAATCGTAGTATTTCATATACTATGCGAGCCTGTTTCTGTGAACAAAATATTTATAAAGTAGAGAAAAAGAAGAAAAATAAGCGATGACAATACAAAATAAGTTATATATTAATAGATACCTTGTTTATTCTTAATGCATTCCTAGCCTCAACAATCATTTCATTATCAAAACCCTGCTTTAAACGTTTCGGCGCAAAACTGGGCAATGTGCTGCAATTTAAGACGTCCACATAGTTTCGTAGTCGTTGAAAATCTTCGGACGGACTTTCCACTGCAAACATAGACTTATTAAAATGCAGAGTCATTAATGCGCAATGTTAGCCGTATTCATACAAACACTAAGATTGTTACTTTTGATAACTTCGAAGATATAAAGCTTCGAAAGAATTCAAATCTTTAAAGTTAACTTCGAACTATCGAAGTTTGAAACATATATTCGTGCAAAAAAATAAAAATAAAAATTTGTAATATATATTCATATATTAGTATATTAGTATATTTTTTAATGAAAATATATTCATTACTATTATAATCATGTTAAATTAATAATTGTATAATTTTTATTCTTCCAAACTTCTCAAAGATTTTAATATCGAAGTTACGAAGTTCAAATGTTGAAATAAATCGCCTGTCAGTACTGAAAGTCTGTAGTATATGTGATGTAAATTATAAATTTTCAGTAATAGCAGTGCATATCGGAATACGGCTACTGCTGAGAATTATTCTGTTACCTGTTAGATCCTTAACTTCGCGCCTTCCAATGTATTCGCGATAAATCGCTTGCAACAAATGTTTGCCAAGACCTATTCTTCGAAATGGTGGTAAAATTAAAAATTGAGCGATGCGTGGCCGAATATGTTGTGGATAAGCATAATATTGATACACGGTAGCGAAACCAATTGTCGCATATCGAGTAGTACCCACAGACGTGGTACATTTTTCGAATCTATTTCAGAAGAGATTATTTAATGAAGATCATGTGCATTATATATAGTATATCTACATACTGGTTTGAGTAGCATGATATTGAATGACTTACAAATTAAAATACTGCCATTGTTCGTCGTCGATATCAATAAAAAGAGCCGCATCTATGTACCAAAGAAGAAATGTTTGAATTCTTTGATGATATTCTCTGAATCCTTTGTAACCCATATCTGCCTTATAAACCACAAATTGCCTCGTCGTGCCTTCATCTACATATCATTAACAAAAAAACAGTAATGGTAATCGTTATAGCTTATAAATTTCGAGTCACATGTATAGAAATAAGAGAATTAGATACCGTTTATTGAGAAAGACTGTATCAATTCTCCGTATGGTATAAATGTATCATCCTTTGCAAGCGCCTTAGTAAAATTCGCTAAGCTATAGTGAACATCAGGAGCGAGCTTTGGAATAATTTTTGTTAACACCTCATCGGCTTCGACTCCTTCATGTTTTACATTTACTTTCTCAGTATATTTCATTCCCAAATATGTTTCCAAGGAACCTGCCGAGTAGAACAGCTGTATTTTCAGGTCCAGATAACCAAATATTATTTCCCTATAAAGAATAAAAATGACATGATTCACACATGAAAATATGATACACACACATACATATATATATATCTTGACGCCTGAGTCATAAAAGGTGCTATATCGAGAAAAATATGAAGAAAAGTCAATGGGTGGTATTCATAGTCCGTTCTTATTTTAAGACTGTTTTAAGTAATGTCTTAAGACGCTAATACAGCCCTATGGCCGGTATTCATAGTCGGTTCTTATTTTAAGACCGTCTTAAGTAATGTCTTAAGTCGCTAATGCGGCCCTCTGATTAGTTTATGACTTCTTAAGACGGTCTTAGATATAAGATCTGACTATGAATATAGGTCTATGTCAAGAAATTTATGAAAAGCGGTCTATTTCGCGTAAGGCGTGAAGACTGATCTATGTCGGAATGCATACAAAGTACAGTTTATATCAAGAAAGCGAGAAGAACGGTTCAAGTCGCATAAAATTAAAGAAGGATCTATATAGCGCAATATTTACTATTCATAAATTACACAAATTTATTTACGGAAAATTAAATAATAGATGAATAAATGAGTGCGAGTAACAGGATTGAAAATCAAGACAATTTCCGTCGTTCTCAGTCATACCACTATAAAATTTATGAGAAGAAAAAATTATGTTATATAGATTCTTCTTTAATTTCATACAACTTGAACTGTTCTTCTCGCTTTCTCGATATAAACCATACTTCGTATGTGTTTCGACATAGATATATTTCATTAATTATTATTTAAAAATATCTATATAATATATTTTTACATAGTAATTAATGAATCTCAATAAATTAACATTATAATAACAAACCTATCTCCGAATACTTGATAAGTCATCTCCGGTTTGAAGACAGCTTCTTCCAAATGCAAGTCGTCGAGGTTGCGGATTAATCTGAGCTCCAGGGCTTCATTACTGTCCGCGACTAGTTTCTTTAGACGTGCCGTCGTCGAATCTTCCATTTTTATAAAGAATCAACGGCAGAACTGAGGAGAATAATATGCAATCGTTAGAACTTCGGTTCTTCTTGACTCCAAGGATTCGACCTTGGAAATAAAGTTAACATAGGTTAGAACACCGCAAGCAGACAACAGCAGACAACGAGTCGGTGCAAGAGAACAAATACCTGATATTGATGTGTACGGTAATATACGATTAGATTAACCGATTGAAACCTTTTACGTCAATCCTTGATGCCCAAACACGATTTGGCGCCAAAACACGGCGGTTTCAAGAAAGATGATTTCTGAATGGAGCCGTTCGCACTGTCGCTTCCTCAATCATCGACAAAGTATTATAAAGACTGCCAGTCTTGTTTAAGTTTGCGTGCTACTAAAATTTTGATGATTATCCTGTGATATTACCTCATAATATACAATATTAATTTTATGATTTATTATTAATGTTTCATAGACACGCATTATTTTCGATTGATATTCACAAATTGATATTAACTCGATTTTTATTTAATCGATTTAATTTCACTTTCATTGTTATTATCCATGCATGATAATATATAATATTATTACATCTCTACAAATATGCTTATTTATAAAGAATCTAATATAATAATAAATCTCCCATAAATTTAATACATATTTTTTAAATTATGTCTCCAGTCGATAACGTCAAACTCTTCAATTATCACCGAACCCATTCGATAGTCGTGTAACTTTATTTAATGAGGTCGGCTCTCTCTAGTATCAGGAGACATGGTAGTGTCTCGGCGCTAATTTTAATAATTTTAATATGCGTGTGTGTATTCTGTCCAATTATGGGATTTTATTCCGAATTTCGGTTGAAGTGACAAAATCGCTTAATATATTAAGAGTGCC